CTCTTTTTAGTCTACTAGTATAAACACTGCCATATGTGTCTACCACAAAGACCACTCAGGGTACTGAACAGACAGGCATTTATTTTTCAGGCTTGTTTCAGGTGCCTAAGTGTCAGAACAAGACAGGAATTCAGATACAGCCTGTGACTCATGTTTGTTTGATAGCCTTGAGCATTTTGGCGCTTGGCTTTACATCCTCAGAACTGCCTACTTCTCTCCTTTGACTGTACAGGGACACTGGATGCATAGATGACCTTGTTGCTATATCCCTCGTAGAGCTGATTATCTGTTTTTGAGGATATGCTACCCCTCAAACTTCAATATTTCAAGTAAGCAGCCTGAGGTGTTAGATGGGAAGTCACAAATAGGTAGTACCATGTGCTGTGCAAATGCATCAAGCCAATGTAACAGAAAATACAAGCCATCTTCTAAAGCTGGAGGTTAAAGCCAGGTAATCACTTCAATTCCTCTTTAATGTAAATTTTATATGAGGTATTGTGCTACATAGATAGGTTGAAAATCTCTGAATAGCAGCTTAGGGCATTTCCAGAATTTCTTCCTTGCACTTGTCAGGTTAGTCACTCATCTAGTCCCTGGATGTGTTCCTTTTCATGGTTAGGAAAAAAAAAAATCACAACAAGTTAATAAGGAAAGAGTGCTCATCTGATGCTGGGGACTGAAGTCCTTGGACAGACAAATCTCCAGCTAACACATTTTATTTATGCATTTGTAAGATTTAATACGTACTTATTTGATTAATATACTTGATTTTAAAACATTCAATATTTGTATTAGTTATAGGTTAGGCTGTGAGGATATTTTTTTTCATAATACATTCCAGGTATTATAATGATGCTTCACAAGCTTACTTTCAATGCATAACAGACAAAAAATATTTGTAACAAAAAGATTTGTGGAGACATACACTTGTTTGAAAGTCAGAGATTCCCAGTGCTTTTGCACTGATTCTTTTCAGCAGTGTTCCAGGAACTCAAAGATGCAAAATCCTAATTTTTCATTGCTTCAAGTTTTTTTGTCCCTTTTGCCCTAGCACATTCACATGCAGTCTAATTCATCATTTCAAACAATATTGTTGGTCATTGTATCTCTCTTTTTTCCCTTGATACTGACTGACACAAGGAAGAAGCTTGAATGCTCTATAAATTATGACCAGTCCCTGAAGACATAAAACTAACATCTGCCTTGAATATGAGAGCAGCTGTTTTAGCATCAGAAAGTAGAGAAGAATAACCAGGAAAAAAGAGCAGAAAAGGACATAGCCTGACAGGGAAAGAGGTGTAAAAGACAGGAAAGGATACAGGAATCCTCGAATACATCAAGGTTAAAGGTTTACTTATATTTGTGCAGTAGTTTCCGGAAAGAAGAGCCTTGAGAGATTTTCAGGGTTTTGGAAATACCGGATTCTCCATGATTGAACCTGAAAAAAAGAGCTATTCCCATGCCCAACTGTATTTTTATCTTATTCCATTCCTCTGTTTGCTTGGGGTTATGTTTGCTTGCTGTGTTCCTTCAGTTCATTGGTTCTGATGGTGGCAATTTCTTTAAGGTACTAAACACATTAGTATCCTCAATTACTTTGATATTTTTATAGTGATTGCCCTAAGAAATTATAGGAGCTGATGTAAATAACAATAATAATAATAATAATAATAATAATAATAATAATAATAATAATAATGCATATATTGTTATCTTCAATAAATATTTAACATTCCAGTCATTATCCAATCTGTCATTACTGGATTATTCTGGCATTTATTATTTTTATACAAAATGTTATGATCTTATCTTTCTCTTTAAACAAATCAGGAAAAAAATATATTAATATTGTGGCTTTACATATTTTTATGAATCAACTGAGCTGTGGATGTTGACCACAAACACACTTTCAGCTTCTTACAAATGTTAGAAAAGCATGTTAGCTTAATTGAATTTTAAGCCAGCACATTTTTCTTTGTGTTTCTGGCAGGCTAAGAGCTACCACATGGTCAATTACCCTGGCCTGGTATCATACAGTAATTCATTCAGCCATAGCTCAACTGTTTCTTTGAGCCCTGAAACAGACCTCACAAACAAAGTTGAATGAATAGAACAAAGCACAGGTGACTTGACGAATATATATATAATAATGCAAAATTTTGAAGATTTTAAGAGGTTTTATAAGAAGTAAAGGTGTGTAAAAACAGGTTTGATGTCCCAAACAGATCCCAGACTTAAAAAGAGTGATAAATTTAGAAGGTGCACATGTAAGTAATTTGAGACTTTATTTAGTATCAGCTACTCTCCCTGGCAGATTTTAGAGGGGAAAATTACTTTTGGAAAGTACCCCTTTTTAATTCAGTTTTTAATTATTTTGATTATGCTTATTAAATGCCTATAGCAGTTTTCAGCTACTATATCTCAAGCACAAAAAAAAAAAATCAAAATTTCCATGAGGCACATAAAATGCTATACAACTATGAAAACAACTTACAGAAAATTGTATTTTTTCTATAGTTGCACTGTGCTTGAATCATCAGGAATCATGAGGGATGGAAAAAGCTGTTAGATTGCCCATTGCAGTGCAATCAAGTTATGCTGTATCACATTCCTAGGGAATATATCAGGATGAAAATGTTCAAAGTCTTCTGGGCTGTGTTTGATACTGTGTGAGGCCAGTAGTTCTGTTCTAGGGAGCTCGTTTAAATGAGTTCTTTGCTCCTGGCTAGCTCTTTCTTTCCTTCTGCATGTCTGCCATGCCTTTTTGTTTTGTTTTGTTTTGAAATGCAATGGCAATTCACAGATGTAGTGGAAGAGTTACCTTCATTCATAAATGTGCAAGATGGTGATGAAAAGGCTTGGGGACGGCTCTTGTGTGTCACTTTGACGGAAGAGCTTCCTTCCACCTCTCTTTGACTCATACAGCTGTGAAAATGAAAACCAGCAAATCCACAAGCATTTCAGAAAACGTTGCCTATGTTCCAGTTTACTTTCCTGTAAAAGTGCCTTCCACATCTCATAGGATTGTAAAAGCTAATGCAGTAATTTCTGTCAGGTGCTTTGGAAACCCTTTGTGGGAAGTAAAGTCTAAGTTCAACACATTGACCATTATTATTCCCCTGATAATGTCTGGTAATATGCTGGGTTAAGTGCCATTTATTACAATGCTGCTTATGTGGCTGAATCCCAAAACACTGTTATAACTTACTTCTTTGTCTATATATAGCTGTACTTTTAATTGGATGATCCAAAATATGTTATTTCAGGGAAACAATTATATTTCATTTTTGCAACTATATTTATGCAGGGTATTATAAGCTGAATAGTACAACAGATTGGGTAATGAACAGTAATTAGCTCTTATTTCAATGTGAAAAACTAAGTAAAAGAAACTGTTAAAAAACAAACTAGAAGCAGAAAAGGATATGTACACATACATATGCCATGAAAAAGTCTAGAGGTGAAATTTAGACACAATTCCATATTTGACTTTATTGTAGCAGGATTGCACCAAGGATGAAGATTATTTTATTGTTTATTAGTTTAATTCTACATTCATTTTAAAACATTATGTGGAGGTTTTTGAAATTAAGATGCAATAAAATTAGTTAAGCATCTACCACTACAGGAAATGTATAGCATTTAGGTTGTAAGATTGAATGCTGAATAGGTTTTGATTTGTTTCAGGACAATATGCAGGTGTTGAGATCTCACCAGCATTGGGAACTTTTAGGACAGATTTTATATATGCTTAGACATCACTCAGAGTGCTCTTTGGCTAGTGTTATCTCTAGAGGTTGGTACTCAGTGTCAGGTTATATTGCTATATATAACGATATTCTCTGGTTTCCATTTTGGTCCAGGCCTTCAAATTCTTTACATCAGGTACCTGTGCAAGATTGCTTTTTAGAGCAAATTTACAGAAAGACTGTGCTAAGTGGGTTGTAAGCATAAACACATGCATCTGTCTGATCCTCTAAAGGATTGTCATGCATCCTATATGTTTGTCTGATTTTGAATTGTTGCTTAAATAAGCTGAAATTGAGGAGGGAAAGTGTTTGATTTTTTGTTTGTAGCATTTGACAGCTGCTAGGAATTGCATGAAATAAAAGAATATCAAAGGCTCAAGTATCCAAATCTTTACTTACAAGCTACATTTATTGAGTAATCATGCTTCTTTAATAACTACAGTTGAAGCACATGATCCATAGGAACAAATAATCTAGTATATAATAATCAGTAGAATGTACCTAAAGATATTTGTTCTCTCGGGAATAACAGATTTTTAAAATAAATATTTTGTAGTTTGTGTATCAAAGAAAAAAAATAGTCTAATAGACATGTTTGTACATGTATGGGAATAGTGATAATAGATCTGGACGAATGATAATACATGTTCAAATAGTATGAAAAGATTATTTGTAAGCCATTTATTGATATAAAAATTGAGCTTGATTTCAGCATGTTCACATTCTTTTTCTTTCTATTTATTTTTTTGTGTTTACGAACAGTGTACTTGGGATCTTGAAGCTGAGATTCGTTTAAGAAAATGAAGCTGTGTGTGATAAGGAAATGACTCTTTACATATCTTTAGGTTAATATATCCAACTGAGGAACCCCAGGAATAGAAATCAGACCCACATTGTTTAAATGGCTAGACACAAAGCTTGACATATGAATTCCAAATATCAGATAATAAACTGAATACTTGAGTGTATCCATTAAATGCATTTGAGTAAATTTGCATAATGAATAACTTCATGAAATTGTAAAGCCGCTAGCAGACAATTTTGCAGACAGGAAGGAGACTGCATTCACCTCATAAATTGCTTATAGTGAGTAATTTTATCATTTTAAAATGGTGAATGAAATCCTATGAATGATGAGACTTTCCACTGAGTTTATAGAGAAAATTAGTTTAGTTTTGCAATGTACTTGGATTTTGCAAGTTAATCTTTTAATCAGACAGATAACATACATTTTATGTGTTCTCCTGACAGACCAGCAGTACTCATGGTCGCCTTCTCAGCACTTCAATGAAGAAAGATACTCTCCTGCTCCGAGGAATATGAAAGGATTATCTGGCAGTCGCAACCAACCACAGTTATGTTCAGCTCATACTTGTGGCTTAGCATCCCCTGAAGATTGCGAACACACCCACGACCATATCCACCATGGGCAGGAGCCAAGGCAATCGTATCTTCTCAGCCCCACGGAGAGTTGCCCGATGGACCACCATCGTTGCTCACCACGCAGCTCCATTCATTCTGAATGCATGATGATGCCCATGGTAATGGGCGATCACATGTCAAGTAGCACTTTCCCCAGAATGCACTACAGCTCTCATTACGACACAAGAGACGACTGCGCCATGTCTCACGGTAACCCTAAGATTAACCGTATTCCTGCGAATCTTTTGGACCAGTTTGAAAAACAACTTCCTCTTCACCGGGATGGTTTTCACACCTTACAGTACCAGAGGACCTCAACAGCTGCAGAACAACGCAGTGAGAGCCCAGGAAGAATACGCCATCTCGTTCATTCAGTCCAGAAACTTTTTACTAAATCTCATTCTCTGGAAGGATCATCCAAGGGCAATGTTAATGGAACAAAGGGAGACAGTCGAGGGGATGACCATCATCATGGGCACCATTCCAAGCATAGCAAAAGGAGTAAAAGCAAGGAGCGAAAACCAGAAACCAAACATAAATCTGGAATGAGCAGCTGGTGGAGCTCTGATGATAATTTGGACAGTGATAGCACTTATCGAACCCCTAGTGTGGTAAATAGGCACCATACGGATCATATATCCCATTGCTACCCTGAGGCACTCCAGGGACATTTTGGGGATCTCTCATTGAAGACTTCCAAAAGTAACAATGACGTGAAATGTTCAGCTTGTGAAGGGCTAGCAATGACCCCTGATGGTAAATACATGAAAAGGAGTTCTTGGTCCACGCTTACAGTAAGTCAAGCTAAAGAAGCTTATCGCAAATCATCACTGAACTTAGATAAGCCTCTGGTTCATCAGGAAATCAAACCTTCCTTGAGGCCATGCCATTACCTTCAGGTAAGAGGAAGACGTTCTTAATATTTGTAATGGAAACAAAAACACAGTTGATGTCATAAAGTCATTGTAAAAATAAAAGGGTCCTGTGCGTATCTCTCTTAAGTGTGTCTGTATGGAATTCAGACATTCCATGAAAGTGAAAAAAATCCTGCTTTACTCTTTGTGTATAAGGCACAGGTAAAAACATATATAAAACTGGTGTGATATAAATTAGTTTAAGGTCAGTGGATTTGTTGTCATCTTCAGAGTTCATGTTGCACATCTCAGAAAAATTCATAAATTAAATTTTAAAAGGGCAGTTCACCCAAAGTCTGGGGCTAGAAAAAAAATGTGTCAAATACAACTGAAGATGAGTGATTTTAAAATCGGGTTGTGTGGAATCCTATTTTTGTGTTCCTTTTCTCCAGGTTAAGTAAGAAGACTAGATTTACTGGCTTACTGATTTGCTTTTTCTTGATGATGATTACTCACAAAACTCCATTTAGTGACTGGGTATCCAAAATCATGTTGAAGTGAGCCTCTTTTGAGTTCATACTATAAGCCATCTTTGTTGAAAGTTACATGAGATCCTTGGGAAGACAGATATCTCAGGTCTGGTACTCAGACTATTTGTGGGAATACACGTTTTCTTTAGCAGTTCCCACTTTCTCCTACATTTGAACTCAAACCTGCAGCTTGCTGCCATTTGCCACCCCAAAATCGTGCTAGTGTAGCCATTTATGATGCTGCACAATGATTTGGATCTTGAAGTGATAAGGTTTTAAAAAAAATGTTCCAAAATATGTCTTTTCGGATGTTGACATCACTTACATGGCCTAGGTCCAGCACAGTCCCTTGACAAGTGTCATTAGCACATCAGGCTGTACAGAGAACTGCACTGGGAGCAGAACAGGAAGAAGGAAAAGCTAGGAGGGTAACTTCTTCAGCTGTCATTGCTTCTGGGAAAAAAACAAACAAACAAACAAACAAAGAAAAAAAAACTATTGTACAAATATTCCCTTTGGTGTTTTTAACAAGAACAGCCTACAAAGCCAAAGTTGTTCTGAGTGCCTTCTCTTTTTGTTTCCTTTTAATGAACTCTTTTCCAGAATTTAACTGATTCTGACATTAATGTGGGCAAACTTCCACTCCAGATTTATGTATTTAGAGATCTCCAGTTCCTGTGGGCTCTGCAGAAGCCAACAGACACAGTGTTATCTACCTCTATGTAGAGCTCTCTTCCCTCTGAGCAATAGGGAACCAATAGTAATGAGTCACAGCTGAAGGGCCGAATCTTTTCAAATGCACATGCAGCCATCCAGGGTGCACATGCAGCCATCCAGGGTCAATCTCCTTGCTGGAAGAGGAAAGGTTCCTCATAGCAGAGAAAGGAAAATAATTACTTGCAACCCTCATAGCATTTCCATGCAAACTGATTCCAATTTAAGCTGACATCTGTAATATTTTTTCATATCCAAGTACAGTTCTTATCCATGTAAAACAGACTGCCCTTCCCTAGAAGTTTTTAATCTAACTCAATGAGCCAGAACTGGAAGTGCATCCTGTGCAGAGACTTCGACTTCTGTCTGTGTTACAAAATCAAGGGTATAGCTCTGACATTAAAGAAAAGTTTACATTTTGCTGTCTTTTTCCTTACCATCCCATACTCATACTTCTACACGGAGAACTCTCGGCCCTCTATATCTCTGCTGGTGTCTTGCTTTCCTTTTCATCATGTTTCCTTTTTTTCTTTTTTCCCCGTCTTTACACCTCATTTTTTCTTTGTAAACTATTTTTTACTTTTCATGAGCCTTGTTCTTACTTCCAACCTGTATCAGCATACTCAAGTGAATGTGAAACACTGAGTTCACGAACTATCACTAAGCTTCAGGTTAAGCCCAGTGGGGGCCTAGGGAACAGAAACGCCCTTTTTTTTTCTTTTTTTTTTCTTTTTTTTTTTTTTCAGAATTCTTTGTTTTATCCTTTTGGTGAATTTGGGATAACTGAAACAAATTAGCAAGTTTCATCAGCTGGTAGGTTCAAGCAGCTTAAAATCTAGGAGAAGTGAATTTAAATTTTTGCTGCTCCAGTGACTTCATCCAGCTTTAACCCTTTTAACAAATTGGATAGTAATCATTCCCCAATTCACAGAGATGCTAGAATGGCAATCTGTCAAGACTTAATTGCTCAATTACTACAGTAAAGAATCCAAACCTTTGTCAAAAGCAATAATACTAGGAATTATATATCAGGAATATTCTCATTACAAATTTTTTAAGAAAAATACAAGTTCTGCAGAATCTGAATATGCCACTCAGAACACAGATACCCTTCAAACTGAGTGACTGGCTTACTCACTAGCCCAAGGTCAGGAAAAGAATGAAGGGACCCCATTCTGTCAATGTCGTAACTACATGCATTGTTTTGAAACTTCTACTTTGAGGGATGCTGCACTGTCACAATGTAATCATTAAGACCCGAGATATAAGACTCATTATTAGCTCTGCCATGAACTTTTTCTCTGACCCAGGAAATGTAATCTGTTAATCACCAGACATTTCAATTACTCTGTCTGCAAAACTGAGGAAAGATATTTAACTTTTCTTACAGCTGTGAAGTAAGCATCAGTAAATAATGGTTGAATTAAAATAATCACTAGGTTCAGAAACTGAGAATGGTAGAGAAACATCTCAGATTCCTAGCCTGGAGAGTTTACTGCCTTGCTCCAGAATATCTGGAAATTAAAATATTCAAGGGATTATCGAGGTGATTGTGCAGCAGCAGATTTCCCTGAAGTGCATAAGTGAACAGATTAACATAAAACAATTGGGCCTTTGTAGGATCTCTGTGTTTATAGAATTAAAACATTAAAAGGCATTTCCCCTTATTGATGTCAGCTACATATTTTTAAATTCTTTTTAAAGCAAAACAGCAACATCCTAGTCCTTCAAAGATCTTATATATGAATACATACATACGCTCAAGCATAATAAAAATTATTTTTTATGTTTATATATTATCAGTGATTTTTATATATATAGTTCTTACTCTGCTATGTATGTATATGAAGATTCACTGGATTTGACTCACTTTTCTTCTTGTTAGTCTTCTTGTTATTTTGTCTTTCAACACCTCTATAAAATATTGCTACTTCTGTTTTCCACTTGAGAGTTTAGGAATACAGAGTCCCAAACTGTAAGTGCATGGCAGTGTCATAGTCCAGTACTTGACACCATGATCTCTCTGTTTCTGAGCTTCCATTTTGTCTTCCATAGTAATTACTGAGCTGCACTTTCCTTAAAACTTTTGAAGAGTGAACAAGGTAAATTTCTTTCTAAGAAGTGCATTTGTACCAGATTCACAGTTGATGAAAACAGGAGATGAGAAAAGAGGTTTAGAAAGCCTCTGTGTTTTCAAAAAATATATATTTTCAAAAAATATGCCCAGGTTATATCTCATATTGGAAAGCAGGGATTTCTTTAATCTGTCTGAGCCTCATCTCTGGCTATTTTTCTTAGGGTTTCTCATGTCCCTGTTCCTCCACAGTCCTCATAGCTGGGGGAGCTCATTGCTTGGGCCGTGTGTGGGTGCATGTTAGAGAGGGTTCAGCCAGATGACCATACTGCCCTCCACACCACCCTGGCCATTTGCCTTGTTCCAGCAGAGCTGCTCACCGGTGGCCATTTTTGTAGAACTAAGTTGGTAGACATAAATCTCTATGAAGTAGTATTTATTTTTCTGATCTATACCTCAGTCCCTGACCAGATTTGCGTTACTCCTTCTACAGTGGAGATGATGGGAGCTTGCAGAGAGAAGGGAGAGGGGCTGAATGTGAAGCCCCTTTGGGCTCCAGCTAGTTGTTAAATCAGCTTAGCTGCAATGTGAACCCAGACCAGTTGGCTAGCAAGCCGGTCAGTTCAAGAGCAGAGAGCAGCCGTTTCGTAACTGTACACTGATAGCATTTCTTAAATTCTTGTGAATGATTAGCAAGTTTTTACCCGTGGGCCTTCAATTTCTGTTTTGAATGTAGACAATTACATTTCTGAGAACCAAAAATTTCTGTCATTTCCCTCCATGGGCAGAATAGCCCATGGAGATCACACATGCATTATAAGCATACCTTTTAATAGCTTTAGCTACAGTAACTGCTACTGCTTCCCATAACATTTTGATTTTAATATAAAATATGTAACAACAAAAAAAAAAAAAAAAAAGATAAATGGGTTTTGAGATCTGTTTTATCTTCATTGGTTGTTTTGGTTAATTAAGTTCAACAGATATACACTACAATGACTGATTAATTTTACCTTGACATGAGTATTAGTGAAGATTAAAGATTTTCAACAGGAAAAAAAATGGATATGAACTAGATAGCTGTGCAAAACTTACGAATACAAGAATGTTGCTTACAGTTTCCAGGACTGAAAAACCTGTGAATGCTAGTTAAGGAAAACTAATTCCTACAATAACACCAAAAGACAGGCAAAAGCATAGCAGTCACCATCACTGAAGTTCTGGAGCACAGTGCTATGTGTCCCTGATTAATATTCCTCCCTCAGCCATTCAACAGCCTGTGAAGCAGCAAGCAATCAAGGTAAACATACCACAAGGTACAGTGAATGAGTCAGCACTGAAAAAGAAAATAGCATGTTGTTCTAAAAATGGCTTCATCCCACTCTTGTCTTCCTAGTGCATTTAAGTACTAGCGTCATCCGTTACAGCACTGGCACTAGCTAAGCATGTGGGTAATAATGTCAGCTGCGTACTCTACAGAATGAAAGAAAAGCACAAGAGTTGGTCTCTTAAAAAAAAAGAAGAAAAGAAAAAAAAGAAAAAAAAAAAAGCAGTTTCAACAAGGTTCTTTCCTGGTTTAAGTTGTGCCTACATGGAGAAGAGTTTTGAGGAAAAGCTAATGGAGTAATTGGCATTAAGCCCTCAGATGCATTTTTCCAGGAACTCTTCTGGGAAGAGGACATAGTCCCATGAACTAGACCATTGCCCCGGAGAGGCATGCAACTGTA